ACAAGAATACGCTAAATTTGTTAAAACAGAAGTTCGGACGAGTTGGTAGTTCATGACGCACGAGGACACAGCGCACCCGTAACAAACACTCAACGTTCACAGTCACACCAAAAGAAAGGGACACTTACACAGCGCTGACTTCAACTCTTTGTATATTCCCGCCTTTTCTCTTCTTTCACGTCTAATGCATAACCTAGGCCTCATCTTTTTCTCTCTTTGCTCAAGGTTAACTGTAAAAGTTTTAAGCCAGAAATTGAAAATTAAAAATTAAATGGAAAAATTAAATGAAAAATTAAAATTGAAATTACTGTAGATAAAAATTAAATGGAAAAATTAAATGAAAAATTAAAATTGAAATTACTGTAGATCAATGATGCAAAACTAAGTAATCCAGCTCTTTTTGTGACAGCGCTATAGATGGATTACTAATACACCTGCCGTTTTGTCTGGCAATGTTCTCCGCTTCTATTATTTCCCTTGTGAGCTGGTCTCGACTCCTTGCCAACACCACACACTTGTCAAGTTCCGCTGTGCACCCACAGTCCCGAATGTGTATGCCAACATGTCCAGAGTTCTTGTTGATGGTGGACAGGTTGTGTTCTCTAAGGCGGTGGCTTAAACACCTACCCGTCTGTCCGATATATGTTCTTCCACAGGACAGGGGGAAGGAGTATACCACATTTTCAGTGCATCGAACGAACTTATTTCTGTGATTCGTTGTGCAGGACGTCGGTGTTCTTGATGGAGTGTTTACCCTCTTGCACAGACTGTAGAGCTTGTTCGGAGCGGAGAAAATAACGTCCGTGCCTACTTTGTTTGCTATTTTCTTGAGGCCATGAGACAAATGATGGAGATATGGCACAATCACTGGTCTTTTTGCCCTGTCCCGATGACTTTTCTTAATTCGCTCATCATGCTTAAAATCTCTGAAAAGTCCTTCCGCCACTGATATTAACAAGGATGGTGGATATCCAGCGCGTTTTAATCTCGACACTTGCCCATCAAAGCTCCTTTGGATGGAATGGAAGCATGACTTCGTAAGAGAGTTCTTAACGCACAACCGCGCTATGCCTCTCTTTACGAGTTTTGAATGCGCTGAGTTGAATGGCAAAAGTGGCTTCTTTCCCCTTGGCTCGTAAGTCCAGCACGTATGGTACGGTGACGTACAAAGACGAAGATCTAAGAATCTCAAACTTTTTTCACTTGGAAGTTCGTGGGTAATCTCCAATGGGTTCATGCACCTTTTGAAACTGTTGAGAATGTCTGGTACCAAGGCTGTCAGATTTTGGTCATCGGTGGCGAGGACAATTAAATAATCGTCGACATATCTGAATACTTTTTTAACTTTTGACCCGTCGAGAGTTTGGTTTAAATTCCTGTCAAGGTGTGCAAGATACAGGTCACTGAGGATAGGTGCAATGCACGACCCAATACACACCCCTCTCTTCTGAAGATACGTATGTCCATCCCAGGTGGCGAAGGTAGATTTTAGATAGATGTCAAGTAAGTTTAAGAATTTGCTTTGGGATAGGCCTGCCGCATTCTGAAAGGCGGTAATGCCATATGTGTCTATGCAGTCCTCGATACACCTTAGGAGATGAGGTTGGGGCAGGGAATAGTAGAGATCCTTGATATCGATGGAGAATGCTCTTAGATCTAGGTCGCTATTTTGATCGAAGAAGCTGATGACGTCATAAGAGCTATGAATCAAGTAAGGATCATCGATGACTAGCAGCTTCAGTCTTTCTTGCAAAAATACACCTACCGACTTCTGCCTAGTTTCCCTTTCTGAAATTATAACTCTAAGAGGGCATTCCGGTTTATGAGTTTTGGAGCTGAAGAATAATTGAAGGCTCAAGTTTTTGCTGCGTTCAATTCTGGAGCAAAGTTGATTCAAATTCTGTGACTGACAAAACGTTTTTGCTACCCGTTTCACTTTTTCCAGGGAGATCTCGTCGTGGCTGCTGAAGACAGATTCGACTGCTGAAGCCAGCGCTGTGTAAGTGTCCCTTTCTTTTGGTGTGACTGTGAACGTTGAGTGTTTGTTACGGGTGCGCTGTGTCCTCGTACGCTAAAATTCTCCTCTTAACTTGTTTTCTTTTCTTTTTTTTAAGAAGGTTTTTGGAACCAAATGATTTGTACTAGAAGAAATTTAGTGTGGTTTTGTTCAGTATGGAAAGGGGGTTATAATATCTGGTTTGTCGAGGCAAATCAGAACACCTATAGCAGACACCTGTGTTTGATTTCAAGCCCTCTGCCTGGTTAGGAATAGACATTTCAAATGAAACCACCCAATATACACAATTCATCCTTCAGTTCAGTGGTTCTCAAATGGGGGTCCGCGGACCTTTTGGGCTCCGCGAAGGCATTCTAGAGTCCGCGAAGCCCTGCCTTATCAATCAAGCCCGACAATAAACGTTATATTTTTTTTTTAGATTCAGAAGAAACGTTCCAGTTTTCAGGTGAGTTTTCTCGAGCATATGTCAATGAGAGAAGTCTACTTCATGCAGCCCTTAGTTATACTCATTTATTCAATCATTCACCTAACTAACCGATACCTTTATCTTCTCCCGCCCCCCCCCCCCCCCAAACACACGCACACGCACCCACACACGAATGGAGTTCTCCATCCTCTCCGCCGATCCACAAGGGGCCGCGAAACATCAATGATTGAGGACAAGTTCTGCAGTTCATCCAAATATTTTGCGAAATTCTATTCTGGTAATGAAGAAAGAAGTTTCTGTAATTTAGATCTAAATACTTCTTTATAAGAATAAACAATTTTGTCGTTACCATAAAACGATTCTTGTAAGACCCAGTACTGACTCATGTATTATTTATTACATTAGCACTCTATATTTATTGGCTAAAGCTTATCAGTTGCGTTTCCGGGAGAAAAAAATAAGGCATTTGACATCTAAAAAAACTGTGCGCGTAATTATTGGCGGAAGTTGCTTCCGTCTATTTTTGTTATTATATGGAATAATATTCGGAACTTGAACACGAGGATCACATCATAAATTAATATTTTTTTTATATTTTTTTTTGGGTGCCCTAAAACGTCAATAGTGCCTTCTGTTACGTGATTTATGTATCAATGTTTTCCAGCATAACTAATTATTTACTATAATAATTACATATCAGATAAAATTACTGAGTATTTATATCAATCGCATTTGCCAACCACCGGGCACAATTCAAAATTGTGTTCTATCTGTATGTAGCGTTGTCTCAGTTCTTGGTGTGTGTCGGGCACTCACGTTAACTTAATTTGAACAGCACAAGATCCATCAATGCTTGGCCGAAGCGGGGGAAAGTGGTCCATTAGGGCAAAGCCAGAAGATAATCTGAAAGACGGAAAGGCCTTTCTTTCTTGTAGATAACAAAACTAAAGCAAAACAAGAAATGAAAGGGATGTGCGGAAACAACTGACTGATTGCGGGTTGTTTACAAGTTGGTCACTGCCACAGCGGACACGTATATGGGATTTTGATTTTGCGGTTATTTTTTTTTTTTTATTCGTGACGCCAGATTTGGTGGCCGAAATAATTGGGCACTAAATCAAGTATTCGTTCCTCTGTGAACTTCTTGGGATTCGCGTTATTGTGTTTTCTGGTAGTCGTCGTATTCTGGATCATTTGTTTGCGGTAACACGATGGGTTAATGTGAAAAATATCCCCATATGGCTTTTTCCTAATTACCAGAAGTTCCGATACCTTTATTCTAGGGTCAATCTCTAAAAGCTAGGGCGAAATTCGGAATATAGTCCACCCGCAAATGATATGATCAGCCCCTCGATAGTGCATACACTTAGAACTGAAATTACCAGGCTTCTTTAAGATAATTTAACTGCTTTGAACTTTAACTGTTAAAAAATATGAAATGTTGGAACTCTGTTAACGAGCAGTGGGTGGTTTTGAAGATTTTCAGACAAAGAGATCCTTCAAGCTCGTGGTGCAATTTTAACACCGGAAAAAAAGGAATTCCTTTCTTTTTTTTCGGCTTTTTGAATATCAGAGAATATCTCTGATATTCAGAAACATTTTGTTTCTAGTACTTTCAATGGCAAACTTGAATCAAATAAAGAATGAGCGCTCGTCAGTGGTCGTCAAAATATAAATGAACTAAACCTCTAGGTTAGCATTAAAATATTGTCAGAGGTAAATATTTATACACGTATAGACCATTAACTCTAGAAATCTCCAATATAAAGAAGAGTCAGTTTATTACTTTAATGCAAATAATAGCAATAACGAGGCCTATATGAAACACAAAACGCTAGGACGCGAACCGCGAGTACAACTGCCGAAAAAACGTGTCCGAACAACGTCCGAAGCCCCTTTCGCTCTCAAGGTCTCCCAAGAAAGAGCTGGCATGCTCTCCTTCCATCCACGCTGACATTGCCCCGAAGCGTGTGACGTCACTGTCCCTAGAGCACACGTCACGTTCGTTTTTTTTTCTTCCCTAGGAGATTCCGCGCAGCCGATCGACAACTCCCGCAACGCTCCGGCGCGGGTCAGTCCGCGGGAGCGCACGCGGGAGTGTGGTGGCCACGAGAGACCGTCGGCTTTTACCGAGGCGCGCATCTGTTGATGATCACATCGAGTGTTCCGCCAACTACGGCTGGCTGCTTTTGCCCCTCTTTCGCTGACATGTCACCCCGGATTCACAAGTCATCTTGACGTCGTTGTCAGTTGTTTGCTTATATCTTTCCGCTTTGTTGTATGACACTATTTCGCGAAGGAGCGTCCACGTGGAGGATTAAAATAGAAGTTTCCTCACCAGAGGTAAGCCACTTGCTCAAACTATATATAAAAGCCGGTTAGAGGGACACCTCGCGTTAGCTTTGTAACAAGATTAATCTGGGGGACTTGCCTCTAGAGAAGGATTGTCTGAAATCTTTTACGAAGACCCAACGAAGCATGAGCTGAGGTGGTACGAGAATATTGAGCCGTCAACGGTAAGGGAGCCATCATACATCAAATTGACCGCTATCCGAGATGGTGCTGGACGTCGTCGAGCCGTTCATCAACAGCACGGACGGTGCCGCGGACAACCTGTCCCTAATATTAGGGATGTTGCCCGACGTGCTGAACGCCTCATCAAAGCTCTCCGTCATCGAAGTGGGCAGTGAGCGTCAGTGGGTGCTTCCTTGGTGGGTACAGCTCATCTACGGACTGCTCTTCGGCTCCATGGTTATGGTGGCCGCCCTAGGGAACGCCATCGTGGTGTGGATCGTGTTGGCTCACCGCACCATGCGCACGGTGACCAACTACTTCTTGGTCAATCTGTCGATCGCAGACGCCATGACGGCGACCTTCAACGCCATCTTCAATTTGGTGTACATGCTGGAGAGCCACTGGGCCTTCGGGAGCACCTACTGTGTGTTCAGCAACTTTGTGGCGAACCTGACGGTGTCTTCGTCGGCTTTTACCATCGCGGCCATGAGCATAGACAGGTACGTCAGGTCAGGTTTAAACATTTCCTTTGCCGTTCTCGAGTAACATTATTACGTTGCGTATGTTGTACTTCTATTAGAGACCTATATGTTGCTTCTTACGTTGCTAAAACCGACGTGAAGTAATGATAAATGTGTGAGTGGAAATTCTCCATCTGATAGCGGGTATAGCAACGCTGCAATCGTAATCTTGAAGTGTCGGCAGCATTGCAATAGTCCCTATCGTAACATCATCCAGAGCATATTATACTGTGATATTAATATGCATTTCTAATCCTTTAATAGTTCATCAATGTTTCCGTAAAAGAATGCCCTTCACGACAGCACTGGAGGCGAACCACGTCAAGGTGCCTTTTGAGTGAGCCGTTTGTCGAGGAAATTACTATAGCGCTGCAGGAAACATTTTCGCCTGCGCTCGGGCAACATCACAGCCGCGTGCTGAGGTTTGAGTTTTATTCTAAAGTTTGAACAGCTTCAAGAGTGGCAATCGTAGAATTGAGCGGGCTCTGCACCATTATGACCTCCGTGTTAAGAGGAGCGCTATTAAAAACGGGAACAATATAGTGCATGATTTAGCACTATTCGACATTTGACTTAGTCACATCTGTTGTTCACAATGGCTTCAGTGAACATTTTTTTCATGTTTTGTAAGCTTTTTAGGTGAGTGGTCTAACCAATTAGCTTCGGACAGCGGAAGCCGTCGCAGCCTGCTCGGGCTACTCTCGGCGTTCCAATCACTCGGTCGCTCTGTTGAAAGCGAGAAGTGAATCGTTTAAACTAAGTTCAAGTTTGAGTTTACACATGCTTTTCTGAAGCATTACCCTTCGTGTCTGGTATTTCCGACTTTAAAGGAGCAGGTGATAGCTCCGATATGCGGTGGAGCAGTGGTTTGATATGTTTGTCAAATGTTCGACATGCATCGTTTTCTCGCGGAAGAGGTGATGAATGTGCCTTTACTCTATCGTACTGAAGGAAATTGTCAAATACGACAGAAAAAAACTAAAGCTATTAAAAATAAAAATGTTGAGACGCCTAAATTTACCACTGATGAAAACTGTGCAAAACAAAAAAAAAATAGTTTAGGAAAATCCTATATAAAATTACCTGCTTTTTTGATCTGCATCGTGGATGAGTGGCAAACGCGTTGCGTTTGGCGACGGTAAAAAAAAAAAAATATGTGTACGAACTTTTCTTTGCGTAACTTTATTTTACCTTATTTTGAATTTTCAATTTCATAATGTAATATTTGTACTTTACGCACTATTGCAACTTAAAGCAACTATCTTTTGATTGCAAATGAATAGTGTATTTGTGCATTTTATTTTATACGCTTGTCAGTGCACTTCTATGATGTTTGGTGTTGTCGTTCTGGAGTTCTTTTATTTTAGGGAGCAGCTCTTAGGCACCCGTTTCCGGTTTCGCAGCGTGGAAGCAACCGCGCTAAATTTAGCGGTAAAATTGACGTCACGTGGCCTAAACACCAATTCGATTCCATGCTAAACTTAGAGAGAAAATGACGTCACATGACTTGGTGTCACGTCACCTGTGTTCAAACTCAGATTCTCCGCTAGATTTAGCAGAAAATTGACGTCACGTGGCTTCAACAGCTATTCAATTTCCCGCTAAATTTAGGAGAAAAATGACGTCACGCGACCATAACACAAATTCAGTTTCCCCACTAAATCTAGCGGGAAAAAGGACGGCACATGACTTAATGTAACGTCACCGATGAAGACGTTCAGTTTCTCCGCTAAATTTAGCGGGGAAATTCACGTCACGTGACCTCAACAGCAATTAAATTCCCCGCTAAGGAGGAGGAGGAGAAGAGAGGAGAAGAAGAAGGAGAAGGGGAGGAGGAGGAGGGGATAGGAGGTGGAGAAAGAAAGGAGGAGGAGGAATAGGGGAGACCAGGAGTAGGGGAGAGGAGGAGAATGGAAGGAGCAGGAGGATGGGAGAGGAGAAGGAGGAGAGGAGGAGGAGGAAAGGAAGGGAGGAGGAGAGGAGGACGGGAGGAGGAGAGGGTATGGAGAAGGAGAAGGGGCACACCCTCCTTTCCTCCTCCTCAAGAGCTGCGCTCTAATTTCGCAATACAGAGATTTGTAACCGTCTTCCATTCTTTTTTCATTACCCCACGATCTCAATGAACACTAACTTCCGTCAACCTGGCGTACACGAATGCGATTTATTAAACTCAATACACCATTTTAGTGTTTTCGAGAATACTGTTTATATGTGACAGGTCGCGGCCCAGCACACGCGTGTTAATAGCTTCGAGAGGGAGCAAAGTACGCGCCACGCGCACGAACACTGAAAATGGCAGCTACCAGAACCGCCTTTCTAGAATGATCTAAAGCCGTCCTTCTACTTTACCAGTGTTGAGGAAAAAAATCCAGATGATATAAATTTTTATTGAATTCATTATCTAAATCATGAAATAATTCACACGGGTTATACTATGATGCTTAATAACGAGGTTTTCTCACAAAAATATTTCTGAAAATATTTTGATTTTTTCTTTATCTATCAAGTGACTCTTTTTTATGCGTATTGTTAAGATACCTTGGCCCTAATATGCTAAACAATTGCCAGAGTTAAGGAAGCAATGCGAATGGATTGGTTCATAACTTAATAAATAAAAATCAGCGCGCAAAATGGCAGGAACAATAAGAGAATCACACAGGACGAGCGCTGACCTGTGTACGTCCTTCCTTGCCCTTCCCCACTTTTTTGCGCACTGCCTTTAATTTATTCATTGGCCGAGTTAGGTTTAATTCCATGGTAGTTTGGCTGCCATTTGGTATCTTTGGGGTGAAAGAGTCAGAACAAGTGCAAACGTTATGCTTTACTTTCTTATCGTTCATCTGACACCTGACATCTTCAGGCCCTAATCGCCACACAAGCGCCAGAGTTAGGTTTACTGCGGGTAGTTGGACTGTTATCTGGAATTTTTTCGCCCAAATCATGAAACAAGTGCCAATGCTAAGCATCACTTTCTTACATTTCGGCTGTCATCTAGAACATCTGGGCCTAAATCGCCTAACAATTAGGTGGCAGAGTTAGACTCCCTTCATCAGAAATTTGGTTAAAATCTGGCGTTTTTGGTCCGAAATGACCAAACAAGTGTCAGAGATAGCTTTTATTTCCGGTTAATCCGGTTATCATCTGGCATCTTTACACTTTTTGCCAACTGTGTGCTGCCACTTAGACACGCGACTGGTTTGAGAGAGTGTGGCTAGAAAACAATGCGCGCGCAACGCCTTTCCCACCTGTTCGACAACCACAAAATCAGATGCATCCTATTGGCCAATTGAGCCCCTGTGACCCAGATACGGCTCCCCAAACTTCGCTTTTTTTTCATATTGTGGGTTATCTTGGGCCCCAAAGTTGATACAAAGAAAAAACCCTCTTCCCTCTGCTAACCAGAAAAAAAAGGTGTTAACAAATTAACTTCCTCCCAAACCGATATTTCTGCACTTATTTAAATACAAATTAAATTTAATTTTGGTCGCAATTTTTTTTTGTCTTGTGAATTGATATTTTGGTTCAAAATATTCCGCTGAAGGGTGGGCGGAAGTTTTTTGTCGCGGCAAGACAAAGCAACGCTGATTTTTGCAAACGCAGAATACACCGAGTGTTTGTGCTCGCGTGTAGGTACACACACTAATGTCCGGTTGGAGAGTTACAGCATCTCTAATAGACGCGCCGTGAGACTGCTACGACGTTATTACCACTGCTGCCATCGAGCGAGTGAGGGTCTCCTAGACACCTGCCGTCATTAGGCGACGCCCTACAGAAGTGAACGTAACTGTGTGTGTATCTTGCATCGTGATTATTCACTGTAAAAACCTGGCGATAAAATAAAATAAAAATACATGCGGTCGTATTTCTGTGGTACCACGCCCGCTCCACATCGTTCACACCATCGTGCTTCTAACGCTATTAAGGCGAATGTCTTATATGTCTCATCGTTCAGTTGACCTCCAAAGTCCTTGAGCGAAAAAAACGTCGACGACAAGAAAACGACGAAAACACGACAAAAGTGCGTCAACAGTGCGTCGTCAGAGAGCGCTCTGTCTTCGGAGGTTCGCTATCACGTTTACATCGGTCGTCTTATGGATAACATATCAGACCCTGTGACTTTTTTTGTTTTAGTCCTGGCTTGCGTGAAATAGCATAATGGCAAACCAGAGTAAAGCCAAACTTCAGCACGCCTTCGGACTTTCTACTGCATTTTTGTGCATATTCGACACTCCAGTGCTTGACCAGAGAGAAGGCAAACGTTATCATGCCCTCGACTCCCTAAATTAGGATTCACTTTAGCACTTACGAACCAAGTCTGGCACTTACTTGGACCCTGCTCTGGCGGACCAGAAAGGAAAACAAACTTTGAAATGCCCCTGAATTGTTAGGCAAAGCACTTTTGCACTGACAAGCGCCAGGTAGCAATACCTAACTAGGTTGGAGTTTGGCGTTTACGTTTGCCAAACGTTTTCCAAGATAGCCGTTTCAGATGGATTTTACAAATATAGTCGCAAGTGCTCACGTCTGCAGCAGTTACTTTTCTAAAGTACATCTAAATTAAATGGCACGTCTATTCTCGCAAGACGAATCTGTGCAGAACCTGTTAGGTAGTCTGTCAAAAAGTGGATTGCAAGACTCTTCTATCTTTTTTGTGCCAGCGAAAGTGACTGGTTATGACAGGAGAGCTGATTTACGCCAGCGATTTCACGAAACTAACAAGCCTCCGGATTGACCATACCGAATTGCAAAAACGGTTTCATCAAAATCACAATTACATTTTTTTTTTCATCTTCGTTCAACACGCACGTCAAGTTAATACTTTGTGCAAACATTCGATGCGATGACACTGGCGAAGGATGACCCGTCTTGCAGTGCTCCGCTGGTGAACGTGGGCGGTTCGTGCGCAGCGCGCTTCTACTCGAAGCAATAATATCTGGTTTGTTCGGCCAGTTGCAGCAGAATTAAGTACAAAACGAGCGTGTTGGTAACGGTAATTAGACATTAGGAAGATACATAGAAAGGGGG